AAAAAGAAAGTGAAAAACAACTGGAAAATAGTAAGTGCAATTGCAAGGGCACCGTTAAGTTCTGGGCGTCAAGAAACAGGCTGTGTTGCTGATGCTGTAATATCACTTGATTGCTGGTGCCAGGACTATCAGGGCAGCCTCACCCAGTGCTGTTCTGCTCCAAGCTGGTCTCCTAGACTCTCTGGAGTCTATGGTAATTTTCAGCAGCTCCAGACACAAGCAAGTTTTATTCCGGTGTGTGTGTGCCATTAGAGATGTTATTTCTGATGGAGTTGTGAGGCAGCTGAATACAGAAATACATGGTTTGGTTACTACCACCCAGCTGTACTATGTTCAGGGATTGTTTGAGGCCAAAATCAGCTGCTGTGTACATGTGGAAATTTTTGCTTCACTATGGGTCCGCTGTCCTCCTGGATGAGCGACAGTCCCTGCTAACACTGCACTCAGCAAACACTGAGATCAGGAGGCTGGAGCCATTCCCAGGCACAGAGGTGCAGGCTGCCATCCCTCACTGCCCACCCCTGGCCCATCACACACAGGACCAGAGCCTGTGCGTGCACATCAAGGCCAAGGTCAGGCAGAGCTATTAAATCTCCAGAACTTCATGAAAATTATAAAGGCTAAATTGTTTGGTAGCCTATTTTATTAGTTTCTTTTCTGACAACGAGCTAGAAACTTTTAAAAGTTTCAGCTGCAAGAATTAGTGTTTTGCATTACTTCTTGTAGCAGGTTAGTTAAAGGAAAACATTTGAATGAAGCAGAAGAAACCACCTCCTCTAGAGGACAACCGAATTCTGGCAGTGGTGTGGTGAGGTCACATTGTGTGAGAACTGGAAGAGATTCAGCAAAGTTCAGTGGCTGCAGCCGCCTGAGGCCAGGGATGCTAGCAAAGGGCTGAGTGCAGAACTGTGAGCTTTACAGAATAGCTCAGAAAAACTCCCCAACTCCATGTTTTCCAAATGCCCATGTTTCACCGCAGCTTTATTGCAGCCTTCCCTAAAGAATACAATACCAAACACTTCCTTTTGTTATGATCATTGCATGACCCGCTTTAGAAATACCTCCTGGTTTCTGGTAGCTTTGTTTTGTATGTACAGTAACACCATTAGGCATGTTTGGCACTCCTATATGGAGCTGAAAGAGAAAGCTGAGATGCTACTAATTCAGAGGATGGAGATGAGTTGCAAAGTTAGCACACCTATGTATGCCTCCAATGAGAAATGCTGAATAAAAATCCACCTTGATGTGCTCTTGAATTGCAAAAGCCTTCTAATGTAGCCTGTGGCCATGATTTATAACAGTGACTCATAATATTGCATTATACTTAACATGATGTAACGCTGATGCAAGATGCCATTTGTGGAATTTCAATGTCACAGAGAAAAAGAGAGGAGGGAGCAATCTGGTCATGTACCATGTCATGCTGTTGAAATGAAAATGATACGGCCAATGTACGTAGAACATTTCAGCACCTGCTTTGCTATTTTAGCAGAATAACTGGGAGAATAACATTTTTATTTCCTGGAGCATAAACATCCCTCAGACGTATGTTATTGTGTTACTTACAGTAATTCAATTACGTTTGTACTTGAGAAGACAAATTTGCTAACAGACAATTCAGTCTTGCAATTATGACCCCTCACATGGAAGTTTGCAGGGCAAATCAGGATTATGCCTTTAAATTAATTCAAGGCTTTATCTCTTTTTTTTTGACCCAGCTGTTATGAATTCTCTTCTTGTTCTCCCTGTCCTGCTTACTTCTTCCTGCAGTGAATCAGCATTTCAGGAAATACTAATTCAAAGAGGAAAGACACCCTGGACTCTGATTCTGGAGGTCAGAAATAGCTGCTCTCCAATGGGTTTGACAAATGAAGCAAGGCTTCTTGATCTACTTGGGGCCAGTTTCGTAGGGTGTATGCAACCCCTGGTTTGAACTCTGCCCCTTACCCTCTAAGTGGATGAGGAAGTTTGGAGCCCTGCGGATGTGCTACGCAGCAGAGGCCAGCTGATTTGGGAAGAGACAAGAGAAATGGAGAGTCAGAGCCCTGTCTGGTTTCTAACAGTATGGAAAACTGTTAATTGTCTCACCCTGCAGCAGAGGGAGGAAGCATGGGTGTTCATTCTGTAGGAACCAGTGGCACCAGCGAGCCATCTGCCTTGGTAAAACAAGACTATAGGCTGGAAGGTCTTCAAAGAGACTGGATCACTTCTCCTGGTGGCTCTCTGTGAGTTTGTATCATACAGCCCTACCTGTGCCCAGTGTCCCTGGCAAGTCCAGCAGTCATGCCTGCTGCAGTGCAAAGTCTGTTGTCTCTGCTTGCTGAGGTGGGGCACGTGAATTGACTGGTGACACTCAAGAAGACAACCATTTTATTATATACACTGGATTCACCAGAGCACATCCTGAGTCACCTGCATCTAGTGGAAGTGGTCACAGCACTGAGCTTCGTGGAGTTCAAGAAGTGTCTGGACAGAGCTCTCAGTCATATGGTCTGATTTTTGGGTAGCCCTGTGTTGACACTGGAGTTGGACTCAGTGATCCTTACATGACTCTTCCAACTTGGGATATTTGATTCACAGGTTGGTCATGAGCACCCAGCAGAGCGAGGCACAGCACACAGTGCAGTTTCACACTGCAAGAGCAAAAATGTAGAAGAGGCTGACTTCTGAATATGGGAGCAGTGCCTATAGGTGAAGATAACAAATCAATGAGAACTGAACACCCGGTTTATTTTTGGAAGCCCAGTAGGTGCCAGTCTGTCTCCTAGGTGCATAAATATCATCAAAAACCTCGCCATGGGCAAGTAAAACTAGACAAGAATTTATAGCCCAGAGGAAAGCCACCAAGAATAGATTGTGTGGAGGCTGATAAGATCCGTATTGCTCCAAAAGAGAGAGTTCCACCTCAAAACAAGACGGTCTTTGTTGTGAAAGGGGTAGGTTGTGAGACCCAGCTTGCCAAATATCTGTAATGGCCTCTCTCTGCCAATTGTCTGTAAATACTGTGATCTTTCACATAAGTGAAAAGCCTGAAAGGAATCTCTCTAGCAAAAACATCATTTATTCATTCTCTACAGGTTGGTGGAGAAACATGCCTCTTCTCAGCCATGTTACTCTTTCTTTTCCCTGAAGATTTCCAACAGAGATTTGTTCGAACAAAGATCAGTAATTTTGCTCTGTAAGGGATGCAGGAAGAAGCGTACAAATATCTCTAGATCAGAACAGTTCCTGAGCCTGCTGGAGAAATGGCAGATTGCCAGAGATAGCACAGCCACTGTTCTCCCAGATAACAATGTGCAGAGCTGAATCTTCCAGGCATATACTTTTAGGAAAGCGAACTGTGCACACCTAGGTGAGAAGCAAGGAGCTCCTGTTTTCTGGGAAGGCTGCTGGATGTTTTGCCTTTGCACTGACCAGTTCCTCCTCTGCCCTGACTCCATGCCTAGGAGACAATGGAGCCAAAAATACAATGAAGTAATGAAACCAACATTTTTTTTTTTGCTGTATCTTTGGGCTTTACATTTCAAATAATCTTCAAAGACAGCAGCTCATTCCATTTGTATTTTGAATCGTGGTGTGTCATTTCTTGCAAATGTTTTACTGCTGTCTCCTACTGAATAAAAGCAGGAGAGTAGCTCTCCCACTGAACAGAAGCTCTGCAAGTTCTGATTTCTGTGGATTTGTGCCTGTATGGCAGAGCAGTTTAGGTCTTGATGTTCTACTAGGCTCTTCCATATACATCTTTATTCCACCAGAAGCCAAGTAATATAGTCACTGAACCTCCAGTCATTTGATCCACCAATATTAATGGTCAGCTGCTGATGCTTTGAAGTATCATGTTTGCACTAGAGACCAAGACCCCAGCACTTGGGATACTGGGCAGTGTAAGAAACAGAATCATTAAGGTTGGAAAAGACCACTACGAACATCCAGTCCAACCATCAACCCATCACCACCATGCCCACTAAACCACATCCCTCAGTGCCACATCTACATGTTTCTTAAAACCTCCAGGGACAGAGGACATAATCTGACCTAAAAATCTACTACAGTCCTACTACACAAAAAAGAAAAGGTTCAGCTTCTGTTTGGGTTTCAGGTTCTGTTTGGAAAATGGCTTGGTTTGGAAAATCTTCAATACCATCTGCTTCGCTCCAGCATATGTACCTAAGTGGAGATGTCTCAGAGCCTACAGGTAATTACCACAACAAAAATAGTATCCACAAATTAATCGCTGTTCCTAACTTCCTTCTCCCATTTGCTTCTAAGTCACACTAAGGTAATGCTAAAATGAGGATTAATGCACAGAACTGCAAGCAGCGGAGAAAGTAAAACAGAGCTAGGAAAGCAGGAAGCTGTGGAAGATGGGATTAACTAGATGGTCACTCCTGTGCAGGGCCGGGGCTGGATGGGTGCACACAGCAAGAGGCAAAGGCAGCTCCCAGAGCAGGCAGGGCATGTGAACGTGGGGCTGCTGGGTTCCTGCCTTCCCCAGTGCTGCTGCTGTGAGAGCTGCTGGCAGCAATCCCCTCCCAAAGCATGGGAAAGGGGCGGGATGCAGTGCAAAACAGTAAGTGAATGTGTGTGACAGTGAAGCTGCGGCCGTTGTGCTCAAGTGTTTTTCTCTTTTAGACGTAGTCCTCACACAAAGAGCAAGGTTTGAGCAATTAGGTTGAAAATGATCCCTTTTTAAATGAGTGAGAAGTTCATGTCTGAACCTGACGGGAATCCCATTCACCCACACAGTAGCAGGCGAGCTGTTTAGCGTAAGAACCATTTGACTTTCCAGTTAAAACGTCTGTTTGCTTTTTCTTTTTACAACTGCAAAGAGCAACGTTCAGACAAATGGTTGGCAGACAGATGGCCCTACCAGCCCGTGTCCCCTGCAGAGGTGCCCACTGCACCATGAGCCGGGCACTGGAGCGCACTGCAGCACATGGCACGGTGCAGGACACGGCCAGGCCTTTCAGGCCAAGTCCCAGGGGTGCAGGAGGACCTACCTTGCGCCCAGCCTCGTTGTTGTGCAGGTTCATCAGTGTCCTCGCGTTCTGCTTAATCTCCCGGGCATCCACAAACACTTTGGCGAATCCTATTCCGTATCTGATGTCGGCAGAGCAGCCGCCCCATTTCCATCCTTCCTCCTTGTGGTACTGTCCCTGTTTCTCTTTGTCACAGCCGCAGTCACTCAGGTTTCCCTGTGTGCAGGCAGCCGTGATGGCGTGGGCTACTCCGGCAGCAATGATGGCATAGGTGAACGCTGCTTCTCTGCTACCTGAAATGACAACAGTGCTGTAAGTGCATGGCACAGCATGGGGACATGAGTCAGAAGAGACAGGCGAGTTCCTGCAGTGCAAACATCAGATGGCTATTATTAGAGTGCTGCAAATCTGCACGCATAAGCAGGTCTCTGCTCTTCTAAGTATTGATTTCTGTGGATGTTCACTGTCTGAAATGGTAGTTCTCCTTAAGGCAGAAGGAGACAATGTATTATTCAGGCAACTTGCATGTGTATTTCCAAATGGAATTAGAAATAGTCAAACTGAACTCTCCTTAGCAAAAAGGGAGGGAAAGGCTGGAGCTCAAGAAGCAAATAAAAAGAAAACAGGTGGAACTGAGGAGTGAAAATGCTACAACAACCGTATCCAACTCTTCTTAAAATCAACCTAGAAATATGACTGTGTTTATTATAGAACTTCTAGTCAGGAATTAGAGACTGTGAAAGGATTCCTCAAAGTAAATCATAAAATGTTGAATTGTAACTGCAGAATTGGCAGGTGAGGCTTTCTAGAGCTAGTGGCATTTTATGAACATAGAACAGAAACCCTTGGCTTTAAGTGAGCAGTGCTCTGAGTGCCCCTGTGCAGCCACAAGCACAGACAGAAGCTGTGGCATCTTCCTCATTCTGCTCCTCGTTATCTGTAGCGACATCCTCATTATGTTAAGTAGGGCATAGTGAAAAATAAACAGGGAGAGTACAACAAGTAGTCGCAATTTCTCTACTCAGAAGCCCCTCCTCAAAGAGGCAATGCACCACACCAGGTTCCATTTCATGGGACTGCAAGAGTGGGACAGCATCAGAAAATGGTTCTGAGTTGAAATTTGCCTTAAAGCGTGTCTAGCTCCCAGAAGTGTCAGCAAACAGGATAGGTGCAGGCATAGTCCACTCTGAACTGTGATGCTGTTTTAGCGCAACATGATTTTTGTTACCAAATGGGATAAGCATGAGAACGTGTGTTTTCCTGCCAATTTTAGATTACAAATACTAGTGCTCGACTTCTAATTTCAGCAAAGGATCTCAGTGGGAAGCACTGCTTTAACAGGCTCCTTTAGGCAGCTCTGTTACCCTGAGGATGCTGACAAGAGAGGTCCTGCTCCAGCCTGATCTCAGCACGTGCAGAGGCTGGAAGGCACAACCTCATCCATTCTGGATTCCCAAAGACGAACCAGTTTTGGAAATGACCCGATCCAATTTGTGGAAGCCAGAACTTTGGGGAAATAATTGGACCCTTCTTTATTTTTTCAGCCTAAACCTGAAAAAATAAAGCCTTTGCATCTGTGCCTTAAATTTCATCTTAAAATTCAGTAAAAAATTCAAGATCATACTGTTAGCTTTGATATCAACACAATACTGAGATTCTCAGATTCTCCTGTATATATTTTAACTGTAGATAATGGTGACTGTGGCATCACAAAATACTAAATAGAAGGGTAGAGTGCTCCTGTTTCAGGAGGATGAAGAAAGCTCGCGAAGCAGGAGATAAGGTGCAAATGTGTGCTTCTGCCAGGTTCTTGCTGGGGATGGGAGGAAAACACAGGATAAAGAAAGAGTAAAGGGAAAGGACTGACAGTGCACCACGCACTGTGAGACGTTCAGCCCACATTGGCCAATGACCAGAACAAGCAAAACAGTTATTCCCCAGTAAAAACAGATCCTAGTCAGTGGGATGACAGCAACATCAAGGATTTCTCTCTTTTATGAAACTGAAAGGGTGCAGGAAAACCCTAATGCAAAGTCATTGCCTTCTCTAGCTGGACAGAAAGGTCAGACAGTAGCTGGAAAAGTACACGGTATGTTTTCAGCAGTGAGATCAGGAAAGACCTTTTGGAGATAGTTTAAATAACATGTTACTTGTTGGCATGAGCAGCTACAACTCTCTCAACAATTGCCTGACCCATGAGCTAGCACCACTCGGTGGAGGCCCAGGAATTTATTCATCTTGCAGTCAATTTCCATTAAATTCATCCTTAAACTTCAACTTATTTTAAATCTATGATTTAAAAATAAAAAAAAATAATAATTTTTAAATGCATGTAACGAACAGATCAATTGATTTTAGTGGGGGACTGGTACAAATCATGTTCCCAGACACCAGATCTATTTAAAGAGGGTTTGTGGAGGATCAGCACAACCCGAGCTGCCACTGGGTGGTTGGGGATCTTCCCCCCACCTGTGCTGTCAGCCCTGCAGAAATTGCTGAAAAACTACAGAAAGCAAGGGGGAAAAGAGGGCAACCTCAGAGCCACCTGTGAGCAAGCCATCTTTCCTGCTCCCAGATGGCACCGCTTTCCTATTGCCTAGAATGAGCAAAGGCTAAGCACACACTCAAGCTGAACTCAGATGTGAGAAACTTCAAAGAGGGGTCTGGCAGGCTTTCAGAAGCTGTCCCGTTCTTCCCAAGGCTGGTGATCCCACAGAGCTTTCCAACCTGCCAGGCATAAGTGTGGCACTATCGGCAGTGATGCTGGAGCTCAGTGCTGGGGCTGGCTGGGACAGAGACAGGCACGCTGTGCCCGAGGAACCACTGCCACCCATCAGCACTTGGCTGGCACAAGCTGGGTGCTGACATCTGCCTGGCTCCATTCCTCATCCAGAGCAGTCTGAATGAGTGCTGCAGTGCTGGGCAAGCACAGAGGCTGTTCTTCACGTGTCGAACACAAATATCACCCTGCTCTTTCAGTCTTTTCTGGAATACACAATGTGCATGTTGTGCCCACTGCAAATATATCCCCTCTCCCCCACTGAACAGTGGGTTGCAGCAGCTCTGTTGCTTTGATTGGTGGCAGCATGGCATCCATGACTTCCAGAGCTTCTGCAACTCCAATCCACAATGCAATCCAACCTCCAAAGCACTGGAGTTTTGTCTGTAGACCCCTCACTCGGTAGCGTGGGACAGCCCCAAGCTCTTTAACTGCACAGGCCACCACCACCACAGGCAATCAGAAGGGAAAGCAAGAAGGGAATCACAAATAAATGAAAATGTAGACATTACCAGCACAGGTAACTCTCCTACCACTGAGCATAATTACATACAACTCATGCATACCTTGGAGCATCAATCCTGCAACGCACACATGCACATCTTTGCTCACATGTTTGTATGTTTGGCTGATCAGCAAGCACCTGTGTATTGGTTCAAAGAGAAGTCTAATAATTCAGGTATTAATTCAGCTAGCTTAATGTTTTTATATTTAATCTTCAGTCTTCTTACTAAAGGGCTTTATTCACAAGGATTAAAAATGAGAAGCTGTTTTCAAAAAGAGGCAAAATAACTTGGTGGTGCATGGGAAACAGGGCCTAAGCCTGCAAGACACGGTGCAGGTTTGACTTGCAGGAAGGGAGCAAGTGCTCATCCATTGGGTACCTCTTCTGTGTGTTGCTAAACAGCTTGGCCCTGATCATAAACTGACTGAGCTGTGAAATAAAAAAGACAAATTTCTATTTATCTCACTGGAAAACATGGGATGTATTTTCTGCTATTTAAAGCCAAAGGGTCAAAGAGGGAGTTATCTGCAGTGACATGAGCTGAAATATGATTGTGAAAATATAAAGATGGAAAATACAACGTACCTTGCCAATTATGTGCCATAGCTAACATTACTTCACCTCTGTCTATGGAGGTCATAATTCATAACGAGTAAAAACTAAGAGCAGAACTCATCCTCTGCCTGCTTTGGGGTGTGCCTCCTCCTTTCTTGATAGACACTGTATGCTCTTGGAGATTTGGTTGTTTTTTTTTTTTTTTTACATCTTTCTTTACCCAACATTTGAGAGCAATACAAATAGTAGCTTAAAATCATTGAAATATCCCCTTCTTTTTTTTTTTTTTTCTTCCTCCTTTTTGTAATGGCTCAAAGTTTTGAAGGGTTTGGTGCCCTTAAAATACTATCTTGAAAGAAAAATGACAGATCCCTATAAATTGGCAGAACGTTCTCTGAAAACATTAGTGCCTGTACATTAAATAACTGGAGCTGCACTAAAAGACAGTTCAGTCTTTGAGGGGACAGTCGCTGCCCACTTTCACAGCCTGAAGTTTGGTTCCCCAATGGGGGTGATTCTTAGAGCAAAGGCAGCCCAGATATAGTATCTATTTTTTAAAATATGATCTTTAAGCTCATAAAGTTACTGCTCAGGGTACGTGCATTACCACAGTCACAGCCAGGATCTTGGGGTTCAAACAGCAGTTTCCCCTTTTTGGACAGATTTGATCCCTCCACACCACTACATCCTTTCAGAAAAGCGCAGGTACTGACCCTGCAGGAGCAGAGAGTCTTCTGCCTTCCTAAGGAAATGTAATCTTTTTGTTTCTCTCAAACATGTACTCACAAGACACGTCTGAAGGCAGGTATGAAAACCTTCTGATGGGAATTCCAACTACAGTGACCTTGGGGCAATGTTTTATCTTACTGTGACAGTCCCTGCTTTGAAAGATTGACTTTTTGGCGTAGAGCAGCGTGCTGGGGTTTGGATGCTCAGGCCATATTTCAGCCTGGCCTTTGTTTTGCCTGCAAATAACTGTTCATGTGCAAGATATTGACATTAGAAACTGTTCAGGGGTTGGAAACTTTGCACAGAAACGCAAATCCTGGCCCTACTTGATTAGGTTAAAAGGTTCCTTAATTACAATATTTATTTTCTGTATCTCTCAGAGCTTCTCTGTATCTCAGGGTTAGCCACTGGTTCTGAATTTATCAGCCTCTCTTCAAATATTGACCTCTTTGGATAGTGCAGCAGCACTACCTGGTGTCCCACGGACTTGCATAGGGAATCTGCAGTACGAAAACAGCAAGAATTTTCATGTTGATTTACCCGTGGTTGTCCCCAGGAGACAACCACATTTTGTAACTTAAAGAGTCAGACAGTCTAAAACCTGACACAAGAGACTGTACCAGTACTTAAAATCAAAAAGCTCTACACGATGACTGAGGATGGAACCACTTTTTGAACATACCTGTACTTGGATCTTTTCAAAAGTTTCTCTATTTATAACAATAACAAAATTAGGTTTTACTGTGTGTTATCTTTCTCTTAACTGGATCAGACCACAAAGCAGAATGAACACTAGCAAAGGAGATGCTTCCTAACTAGCAGCTGCTGAGCAAGCTCGTTGAAGTTTGGATTGTGGGATAGTTACTAAAAGTAGACTGCATTAAGAAATGTTAACAGGCTCTCCAGCACTGATGTGCACATCTGGACACGTCTGCACTGACCCCTGAGCCAAGGCATTGCCCACAGTGCTGAGCTGATCTGCTGGGCCCAGAGTTTTAAGGCCAGTTTGTTCATGTGGAGCCTTCTTTTGATTTCAGCCTGACTGACATAAGCCATGTCAGATGGGTAGAGGTATCAGGGGGTTATACTGAAAAGCTTTCCAATGTAAAAGAAACCAAAGAATCAATGGACTTTACTAAGTCCAGGATGAATACCTGGTTGACACCAGATTTGCTGTAAGGTTCTTCAGGGACCACCACTGTATCTTCATCCCTTGGATGCCTCCTTTCAGCCTTTCCCATGCAGGGCTCATGACAGCTTCCACAAGGCTGTGCCACCTTTCTTCTCGTTGATCTGCACTGACATGAGTTCTCATTTACTCTGTCACTTTGCAGAGATGCAGTCAAACAGTTTGTATTGGAAAATTTTCATATGAGTCTCACTGAATAGTGACAGCAATGTTCCATTATGACCACAGGACATAGCTTTGCCTTTTCTCCTTCTACACGCCATGAAAAGTACAGCCATCCTGAAGGAATTATCAAGATAGTTACTCCCTGCTTGTACCTGGTGCATCACTGCCACAAATGGTGAAAGTTACTGCTGAGCACCTGGCAGCACGCTGCAGGATGGGCAGCCCTCAGCACAGCACCTGATCTTCCTGAGATCCATCTGAGCCCAAAGCTGACAGGCAGATTCTGTCAAAGACACTCTGGTTGCTTACGTACTCTGGATTTGAAGCTTATTTTACCTGGGCAGGGGTGGATGGGAGTTTTCTTGTCTATCCTGCTTTAAAACCTTGGGTTTTGACTGTGGCTGTCTTTGGGAACAGAAGTGCTGACCGCTGTCACAAATGTACTTGGTTTCAAGTGTCTCCATAATTGAAACATTGCATCATCTCCGTGGTTATTTAAAAATTCTCTTTGTGACTTTACATTATTAATAAGATTTCTACAGAATTGTCTAGAAAAATTCCTTGTGTTAACCTTGATTGCACTTTTATAATTTCCTGTTGTAACTGGACCAAGTCTGGAGTAAACTGATGTCACTTTTACTGTTCTTTCTCTTCATGTTATTGGCACTATTGCCACCAGCTGTCATGATAAGATATCCATGGGTGTCAGTAGAGAAGAATCTCTCTTTTGAAGGACAAACCAGATAAAATGACACAAGAAACAGAGTGTATAGACTGTGTACTGGTTGGAAGCAAGCTACAGTGAGTGGAGACACTCTGTATGAAGTATGGATTAATTGAAGTGACAACTAACTAACTGTAACTCTACATCTAATTCATCACTGGAAGACAGATTAAATGTAAATTTGTTAAAATACATAGACACGTATGCTACAGAGAAGAAAAGGAAAATGTTGTTTGATGCTTTCTTTCTGCAGACTTCAAAGGGTTTCCCCAAGGCTAGAATCCCTGTTGCCATTTTAAAAATGGGAAAAGCGAAACAGAGAAGAGAGGAGGAGTGCTGAGGTCCCTCAGCCCGTGGGGCAGAGCCACTGGGAGAAATTAGGCCTCCTGAATCACCCTGCAGTGTGAGGGAGGGAACCTGAATAATCTGGGTACGTTTGCATAGCATTCATAAATTAGATCACCCAGTAAAGGTGAAAGTAATGAAATCTGGTTTTGAGGAGATGTGGCTCGGCGTGCCATCAGAATCATGGGCTGGGAAATAGTTCACAGGAATATGCGGTATCCAAGGTAACTTATTTGCATGGAATAACACACACACAAATCCTATTAGCATAAGAGTTACTTAAGCACATCCTCCCAAATTGATATTAGAATTTGCTTGCTGCACGCGCTCAGCAGCGCAGCGCCAAGGAGAGCCACATTACTGTCATTCTGAAGTCATAGCCTAATCTTAGAGCAAGTGCATCAGTGCTGCTCTCGTCCCAGCGCAGCCGCCCAGAGGAGCAAGTGGGATGAGGTCATGTGCCCCAATTCCATCGCCAGCAACAAGACAAAGGTACCCTGCACCTCCAAGGTAACTGCTGCAAGGACGCAGCTGGCTGGGAAACACTGCCAGCCTCTGAATGCTATAGAAGGTGCTAAAGCTTTAGTCGTCATTCGAGTGGTATTTTGTAACGCACACTGTGTCAAAGGGCTGAGAAGCAAGAGCTGTTGCTACTAATTAAACTTATAAAATTAAAAAAAAAATAAAAAATAAAAAAAAAGAGAAGGATGCAATGTATTTGCCCTAAGCGTGACCTGGCTTGTTCTTATAGCTTCAAGGATGTCCTATAGGGTACATGGCTCTCCATGTTGCACGTCTCTGTCTCTCTTGTTTAGGGTAAGGCACAAGGGCTTCATCTCCCATTTGGGGGCACCACATTTGACTTCTGGCTTTGTGGCACATAGAGGTTGCCCTTCTTAACCAGAATCAAACGTTAGCCTCCATTTCTGTGACCAGTAGCCCAGAGCACACCCCTACAGAGATCTTAAGAGAGAAAAATCTAGGAAGTGGATACTTTTTCCTCATAGCCGTAGAAAGTTGATTTGTGTCAGATATCGTAGGGCTCTACATATACCAACAGATAAGGAGCAGAGGAACAAGGACACAACCTGAGCAGTTCAGGTAGCATTTCACGGAGTTAGAGGGCCCTAGAATTTGAAGCACCATGCATGTATGTAAGATTCACCACTGCAGATCTCAAACCCTTTGTGACTTTTATTGAACGTTATTTTTAAAAGTAAATGCATAAGCTGTTTAAATTTGAAGTTTTGCTTATTCCTTAAACGAGTTTTGTAATTTGGATGATGTTCAACGCTTGACTCCATTCTGAAACCAGCGATGAATCTGCCCTATCCATCTTAGCATCGTAATGGATAGATAGAACGTATTAAGAGTTATCACCTCAAAGACAGATCAAAGTCTACTTCCTTCAATATTGACTTTCTTTAAAAGGACCTAAATATAACCCACTAGCTAAATAATTCAGTTTTGGGAGGGGTGGAAGAACTGAGTGCCTGTTTATGCAACAGACCACAATAACTCTGCACTTTTATGATTTGCTAGAGGAGAAATCCTTCTCACATTTTCTGCTTAAGGAAATGTTACTCGTAGACTAAATGAGCCCAAACCTGTCAGCCATCCAAATGGACTCTTCACCAACATAAGTGGCAAATACTTGCATGGATCACTGACAGGAACAGCTCAGCTCAAGGAACAGAAAGCATGAGCTAATCTGAATAAATGGTCCATTTTCAGATGTTTCACAATGTCGGGCAGTGTGGTTTTCACGTACCCTACTTGAGTCACTGTGTTTGATTATCACAGGTGTTGAAAGACCTGTAGCTCACACCGGACTTTAAAATTTAGCTTTTTTTTTTTTTTTTCTCTTTGTGTTCTTTCCTTAAGTACCTCAAGGTATTGGAAAATATGCCTATCAATGTGCACACGTGATAAAATAGCGTTCAGTTAATGCCAAGCATTCTTGGGCTTTCCCAAGCAGAGTGGCAATACTGTCTCTTTGCAAGAATGCCAAGAATGGGGTTCTAGGGCCAGATCCTGCCATTTGTGCATATATGACTGAATGGCGCCTGGAAGGCAGACCAGTCTGGAGGGTTTCCCTGTATGCCAAAAGCCACAGCTGTTGTAGAACTCTTTGGGGTTCTCACAGAACATCCGTGTTATCCATCACGCAAAGCACTGCTTGACTGGCTCTGTGGTTTTTGTATCTACCTTCCAGATGGGGAGGAGGCAGAGAGACCTCAAGGCTGGAAACCACAGCTCCCAGCTTCACCTTCTGGATGTGGAACGGCATACCGTGAGCGATCGACTTTCAGCTGTGGCCCTGAAAATGACTATACCTGTATTTGGAAAATACTTTTCCTCTCTCTTTGTGCTTTAAGTGCTGCGGAATCAACAAATATTGAGTAAGCTCCTCTACCCTGTCCTGTGTTCTGTAGTACAGGGCCATGAGAGTTTTAGTCTCAGCTCTGTTTCCTCATATACTCGTGTTTATCATTACCAGTGCCATTTTAGTTAAGAATTCTAATCTATTTTGTGCTGTTGCAACAACTGCAAAAGATGGAAATGGGATCTTCTAACTGTTGATAGGAACAATCCTGTTGCAAACACCCTGACATCAACCTGCAGCATACCCAGTTGTTCCTGGTGGGAGTCACTACAGAGTCACTATTTCACACAGTAAAAATCTCTTATGATGAGGCAGATTGCTGGACCTCTGTCCTAACAGGTAGAAACCTCAGGCCAGAATCGTCGCTGAGGGCTCTGCACTCCAGCAGTGCAATTCTAACCCCACTCAGCATTCAGTCTCAGACCTCTGCCTTTAACCAGAACCAAACACCTTTTTCACATCCTCAGGTACACAGACACAAGCGATGCGTGCAGGCTGCCTTCTCCCAACTCCCACAGCCGTGCCCGTGCCCCCAGCGTGTGCCCTCTCAGTGCCACATGGATGGGGCCGGCCAACAGCTCGTAGAGAGGCAACATACCCACTTTCAGCTCCTTCCCGAAGACGGTCCTCTCTCCCAGGGCAGAGCAGTTCCAGCGCCCATTGCGAAACTGGAACTGGCACTCGTTGATGCCCATCTGGGACCCTTCCCCGATGACGATAATAGCGTCGGGCCTGCTCTGGCAGATCGCCCGCTGCCGGGGGGCGAGACCCGGGATCTTGTTGCAGATGATGCTGGCTCCCAGGGCCACCACAGAGGAAAAACCCCTGCAACGACAAAAGACCGAGGTGGCTGCGGGGAGGCTCGTCCCGGAGGCAGACGCGGCGCGGTGTCGCGGAGCCCGGCGCCGGCAGGTGCCCCCGGAAAGCCCCCGCCTTTCCCACCGCCGCTTCCCTCTCCCTCGCTCTCTCCCCGGCTAAAGCGGAGATAAGGAGCGCGTGGGCTCCTGCCAAAACGGGACCCAACTTCCTCATTCGTAAATTCAAGCGCATGCAACAGCGTTGCGTGCCCGGGCCACGCACAGACACCGGGCTGGGAGGGTTTTAACTCTCCCGTCGAACAGTCAGAGGGAGGGGAAGAGCCCACGCTCCCTGCCCCGCGGCCGGGCGCACCTGGAGGGCAGCGCCGAGACCCGCTGCTGCCCCGCGCGTGCGGCGTTCCGTGCGTGGGAGCCGGACCGCCCCGAGCGCAGGTAGCGGCGGGTCGGGGGCGGCCGGCGGCACCCCGCGCCGGGCACGGAAGGAACCGGGCCCCTGCGGGTCCCACCTGCTCCGCTCGGTGCCCGGCCGCCGCTTCACCCCGTACGGGCTGCGCCCCGAGGGTCGCTCGGAGGCGCGGGGGCTCTACCTGTCTCTTACAAAATCATCGTGATCACCGCCACCGGGTTTTTTGAGACTTCCCGAGTTAAATAGTAACAGGTCTGGGCAGGTTAGGCTGAGAGCGAGAGGGAGCGCAATTGTTATAAAAGGCGGAAAAAAAAAAAAAAAAAAAAAAAAAAAGTTACTTACCCGATCTTGATATACACAATCCCCAGGCTCAGGAAGATGTGGAAAATCCAGCGCCTTGTTTTCCTGTTCATATTCCTTGCTTGCCGTGTCTCAGCCCAACGAAATGATGCCCGCGAAATGATGCCCGCGGCGCTGCTGGGCCGGCTTCGCTCCCCGCTCCGGGCCGGGTCACGGCAGCGCGTCCGACCGGGGCAGCCCCCGCCGCGCCCCGCGCCGCCCGCCGCTGCCTGCCGGGGTCTGCCCGGGGCCGCCGAGCATGGCCCCGCGGGGCTCCGCTCTGCCCCTCTCGCCGCCTCTCCCTCGCTCCCGGATTTGTATGCCTGTCACACGCAGCGCTTTATTGCCGGCGATGTACGGGGCTGCGGGATCCTCCCGAGCGCCGGCGGCTCAGGGCTCTCCCCCCAGGTTCAATGTTAACTATCTCCCCGTCTCTCTCTTTTTTTCTTTTCCTCCCTTTCTCTCTTCTTCAGCTACTTGGGCGTGTTCTCCAAAGGAGGGAGTTGTCCAGCCGGGGGGGAAGAAAGGCGGGGGAGGTGGGAAGAAGGGTAACGAGAAATGGCAAACAGATCACCTGCTTGCCAGGAGGCTCACAGCGATCCTCCTCGGGCGGAGGGCACGGCTCCTCCGAAGGGCACGGCCCGGGAGAAGGCGACGGGGACGCGGCGGGGTGGCACCGGGGGGCGCCCCGTGGGCTGCCCCGGCGGTGCGCCCTGCTGGCCGCGGGGCGCCGGGCGGCATGGGGCCGCCGTGCCGGGCCCGCACCGCACCGCACCCGCTGCTGCTGCCGACACGGGGCAGAAGCTTCAGCTGACCCGCGGCGGCCGCCCGCTCCGGGGCCGCTCAGCACCTCGGGCCGGTTTTATGCTCTCGCGGCAGCCCCACGCTCCTCCCCTCGCTCTGCCTCCACGCGCGTAACTCGTCGCTCCTCTCCCTCCCGGCTGCCCGGCCGAAGTGGAGAGGCGAGGGGCGAGTCCCGGGCATCTCCGCACCGGGCGGCGGCTGCCCTCCGCCCGCAGAGGGCGAGAACGGTGGCCTGCGTCAACCGCGCGCCCCGTCCGTGCACCTGGAGCGCCTTTCCCACTCCGTCGGTTCCGTTGACGACAGCGATAGGGACAGCCCCGGCGGCGCGGCAGAGCGGGGAGCGCCGCGTGTCTGCGGGATGCCCCGGCCCCGCGGGACGCGCACGGGGCGGCCGAGAGGAGTATCGCCGCTCCTCGTTGCGGGAATTTGCGCGGATGTGGTGGCTATTTTATTATCCACTTAAAATATTTCTAACAGGGAGGTTACCTAAATGATAACAGGGGTGTGGTGCTGGAATTGTTCTGCTGATAGTGTTTTTCTGAAAACAAAACAAAAAGAAAAGCAATATAACGTGCCCAGGATCCGCGCTGGAAAGCCGCGCAGACACCTCCGCGGAGCGCCGGCCTCGAGGCGCCCCAAAAGCGGGGACGGCGGAGGGCTGCAGACGAGGTTACTCCAGAGAAAGGGCACGGAGGGCTCTTCGCGACCTCCTCCAGCGCCCCCCCGGCTGTCTCTCCCGCCTCGCTCCGTCTCCTCTATTCCCCTTTCCCCTTCTCTCCGTCTGGTCTCACACCGCCTTTTCACCCGCCGCGCACCGAGCCCCCATCCCGCGGGCAGCCGGCGGGCGGCAGCCGGAGCCGGGCGCGGGGCGCAGCGGGACTCGGCCGGGCAGGTCGGGGCGGGGCGCGCGGCGCTGCCCGCTCTCTCTGTTACGGCGCCACCTTGCGGGCGCGGCGCGGCGCGGAGCGGCGGCCCCGGCACCTGCGGGCGGCACCGGCGGCGGGGCGGGGGTTGGGCCCGGCGGCGGGACACGAGCCGGGGAGCGGCCCTGAGCTCGGCGTGCGTGAATGGGATCGGCTACCTTAATGGGAAACGAATAGAAGGCTTTAGGGTACGTCTTCCCTGTGTGGGAGGGAAGGCCCCCGCAAAAGGAATGGGGCAGTTAAGAGAGGCAGAACGGCGTTCTTCCAGCCTGCGTTTATCTATCATCTCCGTAAATCAGCGAGGAACGTACAGCGCTGAGGCTAAACGTGAACCCGGCCCCAGCTATCGTGCCGGGACAGGCACCCCTCGCCGTGCAGCGGCACACGCGGCGCTGGCAGCTGTGCGTAGGGAGGGAGAGGGGGGCGATGCAAACAGGTGTGCAGCAGCCGGAGATTTGACCGAGCGGCGGTGTGCTGTGCTCAGAGCGCTCCTGCAGCGAGCACGTGCCGAGGTGTTCGCCCGGCTCCGGTGGGCGCACGGCCAGCACGTTGGGCGAGGCGGGGAGGCGCGGAGCGGCCGTGTAACACGCTTCCATTTCTGTAATGAATATCCGTGTGCTCCACTCATGTCACCCTCGCGCATAAAGCAGATTTTTTTCTACGCCTTTATTTTTTGCTTGGTTCGGTGCCGTCCTGATCCGCTGCTTGGGCTCCTCAGTGCAAACCTGCAAACCGACATCCTGTGAGTCATAGAGCTGCTGCTGAAAAGGTATCAGTGGCACAGGGGGAGGAGAGGGACTCGCTGCTTTTAGTGCAACTGGCCGCATTGATTCAGCAGAAACGGGTACAAACAGACTCAAGAGTCTCATCTTGAAACAAAACCTACTCTCCAGAGAACAGTCTCCTCCGCAGGTTAGCGTCTGATCACAAAAAGAATGGGGAGGTCATTTTCAATTTGCCTCTGAATTTCATCCCGTTCCATGCTGTGGTGGTCGGGCACAGCAGATGCCGCTCTGTAGGCTCCATTTCTGCCCTTTCTTTATTCCCGGTGCTAGAGTTGTTTTGTCTGACCCAGCACCAGCAGGGTGGCTGGTTAGCACAGCACAGGGTATGGGGTAGGTCAGGGCTAAGCAAACTGTTGTCTTAAGTTTCTGTGAGAGCAGAAAGTGGCAGAGCCTCCCCAGAAATTAAAGATAAACCAGTTACTGGGCTGATCAATATCTTTTTCTTACTCTGTTGCTAAAAAATTGTGACCCAGATATAAGTGAGTGTGTGTGCCACACATGCGCACTGCACATAAAATAACATTCCTGGGCAGATTACAGAAGGGCAGTTTGTCTTGTTTGGCAACGTTTCGAAAACAATTTTAATCACCATTTAAGATGTTCATAGACCTTACATGGTCCTTCCATCCTATGGGGTCTTTCCAGTGCTCCATGATAACTCATCTTTATTTAGTTACAGTGTGTATGCGTGCACCTGTCTTTTTCGTACTGCCTCCTTATATCTATTGATTTATAATCTCTTCATCATAAAATCAGTATGAGATGTTATGATGGATAATTCCATTCTCTTAACAGCATAGCAACAAGTTATGGGTAAGTTAACACAGCACTTGGAACAATGCTTAGAAATGTCAGAAAAGAAGGAATCAGGATGTAGTCTTTGGAAATAAAAACATACTTGAAACCATTGGCGTTAAAAAGAAACCCAGCAATCCTGATGTATGTGAAGATGCCTGCAGGTGAAAACTGGCCCTCAGCTGTGACCACTCATGCACTGTGCCTGGGATGTATGTCTGTCCTGTACGGCCAGAGCCAGCTTGTGTCTTGCAGTTATCAGCAATTTGTCTTGCAGTTATCAGCAGTTCTGCTTAGCTGAGATGGTGTCCCAGGTTTTGTCATTTGGTGCACTGATAATAGGCAGAAATCAGAGGGTTTTCTTTCTTTCTTCTAACCAGTGTGACATGGCTGTGTAGTGCTGTTGTAGAGATTTGGGAAGGAACTTTCTTACACTGCCAGGCACTCTCTTTTTAATAATCCAGCACCTAAAAGAACTCCGTTTTCTAAACACTCAAGAGTTTTTGCACATCCATGAAGTGCATTTGCTGGCATCATCAGACTCTGCAAGGGAACAAACAGAAAGGAGGGTGGGATCCTTCCCCATGCAGCAGCCTCTGGGGCATGCATGGGACAGCTGCAATGGCTGTGTCCTGAATGCAGGCAGGGCAGACATCAGCAGCCCACCTCACCACCCAGCCTGCAACAAGCAGAGCCCCTGTTTGTCTACGGTGGAAGATCATTCTGCCCCTGCTGTGCAGGAGCAGGGCTGGTGCATGGCAGCTCCTGGCTCTTAGCCTGCCGTGGGCTCTGGGACCTCTGCTGAGATGCTCGCTGCTATGAGGAAACATACCCTGAAGGAGAGCAAATAGTTTTATTCAGATAGGATCTGTTCGCTCTCACCTTTTACTACCCATTTCTTTATTTAGTAGCAGCAACTTTCTTCTGAACAAAGCCCAGGCCCAAGCTACACCCTGGAGCCATCCATCACTTGTTGCCACAATGGTGCTTCTATTGTTAATTGTTTGTCAGGGTTGCTTTTTGGGGTTAGGCAGTGCAATGATTTAGTATGCTAGCTAATCAGCTCTGAGAATATATTCTCAAAATAAATTAGATAATGAAAAAAAAAGCTTTAAAAATCCTCAGGTCTCAATACACTGCTGGACTTGTGACTGCTCACAGGGGTAGCACCAGGCCCAGGTCCCCCATCAGGCAGACTGGCTGCTGCTCTCAGCACTGATGGAGGTGCGCGGAGCTCGGGGCAAAGCTTGCACAATGCTGTCTGCTCAGTGTGTGGTTCTGGTCAAGGTTATTAATGTCTCATTTTTCATAAACATAAAGAAACACAAGAAACATACCCACGTAAAACAAAAAAAGAAAGATTGTCTGTCTTTTTTTTTTTTTTCCCTTTAAGATGGCCTCTGATAACACGAATTCACAAGGGAGAATGTGGTTAAAAGCCCATTTTGTAACTAGATCCTGGATGCACATACCATCAATACTCCAGCTCTGGCTCCCTTTTATCAGGCTAATCATAGCTGCACAGTTTTGTTGTCAAAACATCTCCTGTAAAAGTCAGACCAGAGAATCCTTTCAGTAGCAGAAATGTGAGCTTAATATACCAACGCTCGCTGTATTAAGAATCTCCTAACTCCTAAAAGGGTGTTTAAAAAAAAAAATACAATAGTTATAAATAAATAACATTCCCAAAGCCAGTTAATTTCCTGGGCTCTTCCTCGCCCGCTCCCGCGATACATCACTGGCAGCCACAGCAACTTGTCAGCTGCCAGGGGCATTTGGGGGCTGCAAGGCAAGCACCTGGCAGCCTGCTGCTGGCCATGAGAGTTGGTGCCATGAGGGGCCATGCGGGGCAGACGTGGTTGTATCTGTGCACAAGTATCTCAGCAAACGCCCCTCTGCTGTAGCCTCTGGTGTGTCTCCTGGTTTCTGAGGCTCCTCAGGCCAGGCCTTCTCTGAGGGTGGGTTTGCTCAGACTCCTGAATCTAAATACGGATATGTGAAAGCTGAAGGAAGAGCTTGCTGAAACTGCTCGAATAGCTGATTGTCACCAGCTCTGTTTTGGGGAGGAAGCTGTCTTTAGGTTTTGGCTCCCAGATTTAAGGACGTGTCCCCAGGAGAAGATACAGTCTTCAACCTTTTAGGTGTTAAAGAACCGCCGGCAGAATGCACAGGTTGTACAGCTGCTGTTTTGAAGTTGACTTGAACGGATTTTTCTGCACTCTCTGGAGGATTGGGCAGCCTGCAGTTACTCTGAGAGGTCTCCTGTGTCTTTCCACCTGTGTGTCCTCTCTCAGGCCTGGTGCGGGGGCTGCATTCCAAAATGCAGTCGGTCCTCAGGCTGCCTATGGCTACGGATTGTGCCTCCCTCTGAAACATCTTGAGTGCTTGGAGTTTGGACCCTTGGTATG